GAGGACTACACTGAAAGTGCCTCCAACGACCGCTGACGCACAGCTGCAGCATTTCTCTGCGTTTGTTGTTGCTTCCTTCTGCGTGGGGTCTATCATGTATCGAGTGGGTGGCTGGAGTTGTCCAGTCTGCTCGCGGCATGCATGGATCAGCAACACGGCTTTGTGCGACATGGGTTGGAAGTGGGTTTATGTTTGAGAGAGCATGTAACGCAGAAGCGCCGTAGCATGGCAGAGAAGTTCTCGGTGTCCATATGTTGCTGTTCTGAGCAAGGCCAGCAGGGTGGACCTGCAAGCTCGAACTTGCCCGAAGGTGATGACGAGGGTGTAGACCAGTACAAGAAGGGTGGCTACCACGTTGTGAACATCGGGGAGGTCTCAATTCGATTAGCTGCACACTTCTCTTCGCTTGGGCAGTACCTGAAAACACGGTTTCTTCATGAGTGCACGCGCGGACGGATATTCCCCGAGACGGTTCGCCCCCAGTGGACGAGTAAAAAGGGAGAGGAGGAGGAGGATGAGAGGGAGGAGGAGAAGGAGAAGGAGAAGGAGAAGGAGAAGGAGAAGGAGAAGGAGAAGGAGAAAGAACATGAGGAGGAGGATGAGGAGGAGCAGGAGGAGGAGGACGGAGGAGGAGTGTAAGTCGGAAGAGGAGGCCGAGGATGGGGAGGAGGATGGGCCCCCCTGTCGTCAAAACTCGCAAGTCTTTCCGAGGCAATCGTGCCGTTCGTCGAGGCGGCACGCATGTAGCTCCACACTTCCCATCGATCTTTTCGCGCTGTTTTCAACACCTCGAGCGTGCAGGATCACAATCGTGCCGTTTTTCCGCTCGTACGGGGCGAGGGAGTGGCCGAGTTTTTGTTTGTCCTCTAGACTGCTATCGGAAGTCTTGGTGGAAGACCGCGAGCCTTGCCTGCCTGCGCCCCCCGGGCGCCCCGCGCGCAGCGTGCCCTGCGCCCTGCGCGCAGGGCGCTCGCTTCGACTTCGCGCGTCGCGCCGGTGCCGCGCGCCAGAGACCCGAGGCCACAGGAAGCGTTTCGGGAGGCAAGGTCGGTCCTGAGAGGCCCGCCGCTTCACTGGAAGGCCGCCCCACTCGCCCTAGGAGCAGAAAACACGCTGCAGAACCAAACGGACAAATCAGGCGGGTAGACCCTGACGGGCAGGTCGGGGAGGCGGGCCCAAGCGACCAGGTCGAGAAGGCGCGCTGCTGAGGCGTGAGCATTGTATGAATCGCGAGGAGAGCTCGAGCGAGAACGCCATCTCCAACGAAATCGTCAGACAGTGCATCCCCCGTCCGCCCGTCGCGCCGTCTGTCCTGGAGCGCCACGCCTGGGCGCGGCGCGCTCACCACGGCGCGGCCCCCGCGCGCCCACGCCCGGAGCCTGCCTCGCCCCGCGCCCCCCGCGCCCCGCGGAGCCGCGCGCCGCCCGCCCGCGAGGGCAGGCGTAGGCTGTCGCTGGGCCGCCGCCGCGGAACGCGCGGGGCACACGCTGCCGACCGCGTGTGGGGCGCCCGCGGCTCTTCGGCCGTCGCTTCGCCGCCTCCTCCTCCCCCCGCCCTCTTCTCGGGGGCGGCGAAGAGGGGGGTGATGACCAGGGGGGGTGGATATCATGGCGGGGGCCACGATGTTTCCTCAGATTTCGTGGCGCCTCTTCTCATTCCACCACGTCCCTGGCCCCCCCCGCTGGGCCGCGCACACGCCGCCGGTCATGGTTTGCACCTCCCCCCCTCTTGGACACCCCCCCATCTTGGCCGCTCCCGACTCTTGCACGGTGGCACGCCTCGCTCAGTGGCAGCCCCCCTTTCTGCTCCCTCGCAGGGGCGGTGACCCTGCCTGGCCGCCGGCGAAAGTGAAAGGGGCGCTCAGGGGCGACCTGCTTCGCTCGGGCTCGGGGAGAGGCCGAGCGCCCGAGCCGCCCGGGACCGGCGCCCTCTCTCTCCGGGCGAGGCGCACACCCGGAAGGGCGACTGCCCCCGAGCGTTACGCGTGCTCGGCAGGCCGCCCCGCCGCCTCGCTGCGGGGGCCGACGAGTGGAGCTTTGACTCCTCCTCCTGCCTCCTCCTCCTGCTTCCTCCTCCTGCCTCCTCCTCCTCCTCCTCCTCCTCTTCCTCCTCTTCTCTATTCCTTTCCCCTCCTCCTCCTCCTCCTCCTCCACCTCCTCCTCCTCCTCCTCCTCCTCCTCCTCCTCCTCCTCCTTGTAGACCCTGCGCGCCCAGCTGCAACTCCTGGGGGGGGGGGCAAGATCCAGCATCGGCGCTGGTACAGCTGCGGTCGGCGAGCTCCCTGCTCCGATCTCCAGCGATCCGTTCTCTTTCCGACCCGGCGCTTTTCCTGGACTTCGGCCTCTGGGGCCCCGCCTCGGGCCCTGGGACCATGCAAAATTCGTCCAGCGAAGGGGTGTTCACGGTTCGGTTGGTCCGGTTGCGTCGCAGTCGGTTACGCTCGACCGGTTCGGTTCGATCGGTGATTGTGTCTTTGCTGCGTCCCTGCGCCCGCTGCCTTCGGCCTTTCGGTCGGTTTCGGTTTCGCTGTGGGTTCGGTCGGTTTTCTGTTTTGCTGTCGCCGTGCAAAATATATCGGAGGATGTCCGAAAATCCCGTTTCCTCTTGTTGACTTCCGCTCAGCAGGTCGGAATCCTGGGCCTGTTGTGTGGCCTTGTCTTGCCCGACGGCCCCGGAACCATGGGGCGTCGTGGAGAGGGTCATCCCAAGGTGGGGGTGAACGAGCCCCGAGCCCAGCTGGATGCTCACACTTCTGGCTTTAGAACGGTTTTCTCTGACTCCACCTCTGCCCTCTACCCCAGATGTAGGCCCCCCCCCCACGATCGGGCTCAGTTGCCCTTGATCGGTCCCACGAAGACCTCACAGGAGTTGTCCCCTAGGCTTCGGCGCTGTTGGGGGCTCGCGCGGGAGGGCCAATCTGCGGGTTTTCTTCTTTCTCCTCCTCTTCCTCCTCCTCTTCCTCCTCCTCCTCCTCTCCTCCTCCTCCTCCTTTTCCTCCTCCTTTCTAGCAGCAATCTGTCATCTATCCTGCCTCATCCTCATCCTCACTCCTACTCATGCAATGTGACCTGCCTCCTCCGTACTCCTCCTCCTACCTCCTCCTCCTCCTACCCTTTTTTCTCCTCGGCGTCGTCCTCACTCCTCCTTCTCCTCCTCCCCCTCCTCCTCCTCCTCCTCCTCCTCCCCCGCAGCGCTGATACGTTTTAGGAATGAACTTGTATCGCTGCTCTATTGCTGAAGCCCACGGTGGACAGAATGACGAGAGGATCGGCAGAGCAAACGAATCTGGTGCCAACAGGTTTACAACAGCCGCTACCGGGTCGTCGCGAAGCTGGGCTGGGGCCACTTCTCGACCGTATGGCTGTGCGAGGACACGCCAGCACGGGCACTCCGCCTCCTGTTACCTGGGGGTTTTAGGGGGGGACAGACTCAGTGGGGGGATGCATCGACCCCCAGTCGCCCATTCATTGCCGATGGGGGCCCGATAGCCCACCCCGCCCAGCAAGACCAGTTTCGCCATCCGGGGCCTATCGCCGATCTCTGTCGTCGGCAAGGTATCGCCGATTCCAGCTCGATGTCTCTCAGCCTAGAGCTGGTCCTCCCCCAAATCCTGCCCCTCAGGGGGCAACGTCAGGGGAGGATGGGTGCAGGTGGGGATGGATCGACCCCCAGTCGCCCATTCATCGCCGATAGGGGCCCGATGGCCCACCCCGTCCACGACCGGGGGGTTTCGCCATTGGGGGCCCATCGCCGATCTACCAGCGATGCATCGCCGATTCCAGCCCGATGCCTCCCCCACTGGCTGAGCGGTCTGCCCCCGCCGCTCACCTCCACCTCCTTGTGCGCACGGGCCCCTGATGCGTCTGCGCTCCGCTGCTCCCATCCGCCTCTCGACTCGGCCTCGAGGTCGCGAGCTGGGTGCGAGAAGTGCGGCGGGGGATCGAGGAGGAGGAAGAGGCAGAGGGGAGGAGGAGGGGAAGGGGAGGGAGGGAGGGGGAGGGGACCCCCCGCCCCCTCCACAAATACACTACAGGAATACTACCCTCCTCTCTCCCCTGATGTCGGGCGGAAGATGTCCAGCCCCCCTCCGCGTGTTGTTTTTTTCCATACCAGATTCCTGGGAACTGCGTTAGTTTAGTTATTTGTTCAAAACGTTGCTCCCGCTGAAGTGCTGGCCTCATTTTCGGGCTTCCGCTCGTTTCGAATCGTGCTCCCGCTGCAGCGCTGGTCACATTTCCGCGCTTCCGCTCGTTCCGAATCCTGCTCCCGCTGCAGCGCTGGCCTCATTTCCGCGCTTCCGCTCGTTCCGAATCGTGCTCTCTGCAGCGCTGGCGTCATTATTTTCAGTGCCATGCCACGTCATGGTTTTCGGTCCTTCCAAATAGGCCCCCAAATCTAGAAAGTGGCCTCCCGAAAAACCATCGGAAGTGATTGCACATTCGGTGTCGATTCGTTGATTTTTTTGGCCGCAGAAGCCCCCCCACTTTGGGGCGTCGCCACGCCATGCTATGCCATGCTACACGTTGATCTTCAACACCATGCTATGCTATGCAATGCTATGCCGTGATACGGCATCCGACTGTGCGAATAGAGAGGAGATTTACGCCATGGTATGGGACGGGAGGGAGGGGTAGGACGTCAGATATGACGCAAGCACACCTAGCTTGCCCCTCCCCCCTCCCTCCTCCCTCCTTCCCCCTCCCCTCCTCCCTTCCCCCCTTTACTCCCCCTCCTTCCCCTCCTCCCTGCCCTCAGGCGAGGAGGGGAAGGATTGGGAGGAGGAGGGAGAAGGGGGGGGCAGGATGGGGAGGGAGGGGAAGGAGGTAGGATGGAGGAGGATCCAGGATCGAGTTTTTTCCCAACCCTCTTATCGTTGGGTACTCGTTTTGAATAGAGCAGTGTGGTCGCCCCATCCTCCTCCTCCTCCTCCTCCTCCTCCTCCTCCTTCTCCTCCTCCCCTCTCCTCCCCTCCTCCTCTCCTGTTTCCTGTGTTCCCCTCTCCTCTTCTCTCGTGCCGTCGGGCTTGCGATCTGCGCAACCGTCGCCACTTTCGTGGGCTCCTGGGAGGCCCAGCGGAGGTGGGTCCCACGCGAATCACCTCGGTAGCTCGCCGCCCCCTGGGGGGCTTGCGATCTGCGCAACCGTCGCCACTTTCGTGGGCTCCTGGGAGGCCCAGCGGAGGTGGGTCCCACGCGGATCACCTCGGTAGCTCGCCGCCCCCCTGTGGGGCTTGCGATCTGCGCAACCGTCGCCACTTTCGTGGGCTCCTGGGAGGCCCAGCGGAGGTGGGTCCCACGCGGATCACCTCGGTAGCTCGCCGTCCCCTTGGGGGGCTTGCGATCTGCGCAATTGTCGCCACTTTCGTGGGCTCCTGGGAGGCCCAGCGGCGGTGGATCCCATTCGGATCACTTCGGTAGCTCGCCGCCCCTAGGGTGGTTTGCGATCTGCGCAACCGTCGCCAATTTCGTGGGCTCCTGGGAGGCCCAGCGGAGGTGGGTCCCACGCGGATCACCTCGGTAGCTCGCCGCCCCCTGGGGGGCTTGCGATCTGCGCAACCGTCGCCATTTTCGTGGGCTCCTGGGAGGCCCAGCGGATGTGGGTCCCACGCGGATCACCTCGGTAGCTCGCCGCCCCCTGGGGGGCTTGCGATCTGCGCAACCGTCGCCACTTTCGTGGGCTCCTGGGAGGCCCAGCAGAGGTGGGTCCCACGCGGATCACCTCGGTAGCTCGCCGCCCCCTGGGGGGCCTAATGCTATGCTATGCTATGCTATGCTATGCTATGCTATGCTATGCTATGCTATGCTATGCTTTTGCTTTGCCTTCGCTTTTGCCTTCACTTTTGCCTTTGCTTTTGCCTTTGCTTGGCACCCAGGGAGCGCAACGGGGGGAACCGCGCGTTTGCTTTTACCTTTGCTGTTGCTTTTGCTTGGCTCCCAGGGGACTGGGGGAACCTCCCGGGGCGGTTTCCACTGCCCGGCCCCTTTAAGCCAACAGAGTAAGAACCCTTCTAGGCAGAGCCTATGTAGGGAAAAACTTCAGGCAAATCAATGATTTTGGCCTCTTCGGGCCCTCCTGGAGGACCTCTTGGAGGCCTCTTGGGCCATCTTGGAGGCCTCTGGGGGGCCTCTTGGGCCGTCTTGGGCCGTCTTGGACTCTCTTGGGCCATCTTGGAGGCCGTCTTGGACCATCTTGGGCGGACTTGGAGGCCATCTTGGACCATCTTGGAGGCCATCTTGGGCCAACGTTTCCATCTTGGACGCCATCTTGAGCCGTCTAGGAGGATTTTTCCGGGAATTGGGCGATCTACGGGTGGCCGGCGGGTCGGGCCGAAGCCCACTGGGAGAGTTTTTTTGGAAAAAGAACCAAAACCAAAACCGAGAGGGTCAAGCACGCCAGGCACCCCTGCGATGAATCGACAGGGGGCGGCGGATCGAAGACGCCTACGGCGAATCACCGCCGCCCCCTGCCTTTTTGGAAGCGCCGATGTGGCCGAACGTTGAGGCCAGACCTGCAGCCATCGGCACCATGTGTTCCCCGAATCGGTGGAAAGCCTTCGGGGAAAGACCGTGGGCATCTTCAAGGTAATCTTGGCCGTCTTTGGAGGCCTCTTGGCGATCTTTCTGGCGATCTTTGGGGGTTTTTGGCATCGTCTCGGGCAGTCGAAATCGAGACCGAACCCGAAAAAGAAGATCGAAGGAAAATCGTCAAAAATCGATAGAAAACATTAGGAACATAAATGTTTTTGGTCCTTTTCTGGCCTTCCTGGAGGCCACCTCTAAAGGGGCCTATTGGGCGGTTTTGGGCAGCTTCGAGCCAACTTCGGCCATCTTGGTGGTTCCTGGCACGTCTGACGCCGTCGGGAGCCGTCTTGGGGGCCTTTCTAGGCCGACTGGGGGCTCTCTTGGGTCACTTCGGGGCCGTCTTGGAGGCCATCTTGGGCGTCTTGGAGGCCATCTTGGGCGTGTTGAAGGCCTCTTGGGCCATCTTGGGGCCCTCTTGGAACCGTCTTGGAGGCCACTTGGGCCGTCATGGGGCTCTCTTGGCCATGGGAGGCCCGTGGGCGATCTGAGGACGATCGTGGTGGGCCTCTTAGGACCGTTAGAAGCCGTTGAAGGCCCGAATCAAACCCGAACAGGAGGAAAATCGCATAAAATCCTCCAAAAACCCTCTGGACAAATCACGGATTTTGGCCTCTTCGAGGCCTCCTTGAGAACCTTTCGACGGGCTCTGCGGCTGTAATTTGAGGCCCTTCTTAGGGGCTCTTGGGCCGCCTTGGGCATCTTGAGGCTATTTAGGCCGTCTGGGAATCTTGGGCCGTCTTGGAGGCATCTCTTTAAAGCCATGCTTAGCCGTCTTGGATGCCATTTCCTAGGCCGTCTTGGAGGAATCATGGAGACATCTGGAGCCGTATGGGCAGGAAAGTAGGGAATTGAGACTCCTTGGCACAATCCTCCCAGTTACCCAGGCGGAGGGCCGAAACCACGGGAGAAAGTTCTTTTGGAAAAAACAAAACCAAAACCGAAAGGGTCCAGCACGCAGGCACCCCTGCGATGAATCGACAGAGGGCGGCGGATCGAAGACGCCTACGGCGAATCACCGCCGCCCCCTGCCTTTGTGGAAGCGCCTATGTGGCCGAACGTTGAGGCCAGACCTGCCAAGCCATCGGACCATGTGTTCCCGAATCGGTTTGGAAAGCCTTCGGGGAACACGTGGGCGTCTTGATGGTCATCATCGCCGTCTTGGAGGCCTCTTGGGCGATCTTTCGGCGATCTTTGGGGGCTCTTGGGCCGTCTCGGGCCGTCGGAAGGCCGAAAGAAGGGAAATGCCAAAATCCATCAAAAACCTTGGGAAAATCAGTAATTTTGGCATCTTTTGGCCTTCCTGGAGGCCCTCTTGGGGGCCTCTTGGGCCCTTTTGGGCCAGCTTCGAGCGAACTTCGGCCATCTTGGTGGGTTCCTGGCACGTCTGACGCCGTGGGGAGCCGTTTTGGGGGCCTTTCTGGGCCAACGGGGGACCCTCTTGGGGCGCTCCAGGGCCGTCTTGGAGGCCATCTTGGGCGTCTTGGAGGCCATCTTGGGCGTGTTGGAGGCCTCTTGGGTCCTCTTGGGGCCCTCTAGGGGCCATCTTGGAGGCCACTTGGGCCATCATGGGGCTCTCTTGGGGGCCTCTTGGGCGATCTTGGGGGCTTCTTGGGCCGTCTTGAGCCGTCGGAGAGCCGAAAAGGCGCAAATGCCAAAATCCTTCAAAAACCAATGGAAAATCAATGATTTTGGCTTCTTCGGACTCTCCTGGAGGACCTCTTGGAGGCCTCTTGGGCCGTCTGGGAGGCCTCTGGGGGGCCTCTTGGGCCGTCTTGGGCCGTCTTGGACT